ATTCTTCTCCAGCTTGAGTTAATCAACCTTAATAAAACTGTTATTTTAAGTTTTTCTTTGGTTAGAAGGTGGTTTTGTACGTTGGAAAATCCTACAAGTTTTCGTCCTCCGTAATATTTTTAATTACATGACATACAATTGACGGTATGTTTCCTAGTTGTTAATAGTGTTTGCTTGACATAGTTCACTGATTGATTTTCATGACTTTGCTCCCGGTTTCACAATTATTCCTTTCCCGTTTACCTACAGAATGGCCAAAGCGTTTCTTCTCGGCTTTTGTGTTCTTATGTCGTTCGCCATTGGCGAGGGTTTCAAAACTAAAGGTGCGATGGAACAAATTCTGGAAGCCAACAATCCAGGTGAGATGAACCATTTTGTTGAGGACTTGTCTTTGCTTTATCAATATAATCTGTTTTCAGATATCTTAATTTCAGACATCGAATATTTAAGCTCGGAATCTTAGCCATGCTTATCTCTTGGCGAAGTCAATCTCGTCGGCTGTTAAATAGGATGATGGCGGGCACCTTGCAGAAGCTGCCGCCTTGTTACGTAACAAATGGGACAATTTTGGAACTGTCTGAGGCTGCTGAGAAAAAAATAAATAAAATTTACTTGAAGTTAAATTGTCACTTTTGCGTTCATTATCCAGACAACCATCATAACCCGCCAGGGAAGCATTTGTCATTTTACCATGGAGACATCAGACTGACTAAGAAACTAGCAGAAAATCTCAAGAAATATGACGACCCAACTAAAGGCTAGGCCGATTCCCACGCGCCCAGTAATGTGGACAGCGAACGTTGGCCAAATGCTGTTATACCCTACACGTTTCACTGCTCCATCGGTAAGTTGATAATCTGTTTAAGGAACACGCCTTGAGGAAAAGAGATATCGACTTACTTTTATTATGCATCTGATGTATGCGGCAAAAATCAATAATACGAACGCGTGTGTACAGTGGACGATATGGTTCACGAAAAACTAAGCCATTATTTCTCCGCCAGATCTCTTGTAATATGGAGATTTGCGCACGAGAAATCACTTGCGTAAATAAAAGATTTTATAATCCATCGCAACTGCTGCTGAAATAGGGAATGGTCGACACTATTCAATGTTTTTTTTCTTTGGTTGTAACCTTGTTGTATTTCAAAAATTGTCTTCAACATTGGATTTATCGCATCAAAATCTCTGAACCAAGTGGTTATTTTGATTCAAAGTTAAGCTTACGAAGGGAGGAGGAATGAGTATGTACTTTTAGAAACGTTGGCCAAATGCTGTTATACCCTACCCTTAGAACAATAGCCCACGATGACTTATATGTAAAACTGGAACAAAGATTCTGAGCTCCTTGTAACGTCTTTTCGATATCTTTGTTAGGAAACATGGAAAGTGCTGTTCGTTCTGTGCTGAATGCCATGAAACAGTGGGAAAGGAAAACTTGTCTGCGATTTGTGTCCAGAACCAATGAAAAAGCTTACATGGAGTTCTTTAAGGACCAAGGGTAAGGTACTCAGGAAATATAATATCTTATCAACCGAGTGCGAGGGCCATACAGGGGGAATATCGACCCGCCAGGTCTTCACAGTGCGGAACGACCGCAGCGAGGTCGTGCAAAGTAGACCAAGGCTCGATATTGACCAACTACGGTCTCAAGCAAGGTTGGTCAATAACAGATTTACTGCACGGTTAAAAATGTTTTGTTTTTTTTTTATCAAAGAATCTCGCGATCACCTTGAACGATACTGACTGGCAGTCAACTGAGCGGTTACTGATGCTCGGTGTTTTCAAAAAAAAAAGGGAAGAAAATGAAAAAGGGATCCTCTACCTGTTGTTAGTTCTTATAGAAAGGTGAGCCAGAGAACAACAAGAAAACCGCGCGGGATCATTAGGGACAGTGCTGGGTCCCAGTGGGAAGGTTGCCGGCGGAAAGTGCTTGGGAGATGATGGTTTTTCAGTTTTGCGCTTAATCCGCTGAGGAAATATGACTTTCACTTCGATTGTTTCTGTAGAACAAAAATGGATACTCTAGTGAAGTAGTTATAAGTGAGAAGGGTTTAATTTAACTCACAAAGTTTTACATCAGATTAAGCAACCAGAACCATTTTAATAACATAAATCTCAATTTTAATCAATCAATCAATCAATGAATCAATGAATCAATGAATCAATCATTCAAGCAATTGAGCAATCGAGCAACCGATCAATTGACCAACCAGTCAGTCAGTCATTCAGTCAGTCAGTCATTCAGTCAGTCAGTCAGTCAGTCAGTCAGTCAGTCAGTCAGTCAGGCAGTCAGTCAGTCAGTCAGTGAAACAGTCAATCAATCAATCAATTCATGAATCAATCAGTTACTCAGTCAATCAATCAATTAATAAATTGATCAAGAACGTTATAACATGTAAATAGGACTAAATGGAAAAAAAATTAAACTAGTGAAATAAAATTAAAACATCTCTTTAGGCAAAGATAGATCAAGTATATACATTTTCCGTGATAATATTCACCAGTAAATTGTTTAAAAGCGTTTTATCAATTGTAAAAAGCTCTTTTAAAAAGAGAAAAGCTAAAACAAAACTAAGCAAAAGCTCTACAATAATAAATCAAAAATTACAATGAAATCTAAATAGCTACAAAATCAAACTGACGATAACTGAATGATTTAAGTTCAATTATCCGTCTAAGATCTGGAAAGATATAAAAAACTAGCAGCATTACTGGCACTCGGCAGTAACTTGTTTAATAAGTTGCCGGAAACTGAATCAATCAATCAATCAATCAATCAATCAATCAATCAATCAATCAATCAATCAATCAATCAATAAGCTAATCAATTTTGAAAAACAAAAGGAATAAATGTAAACAATGAAACCTAAAGACCTAATTATTTACAGTGAGATCAAAATACTGAAAAAGATATTTCAAGCAATATATAAAACGCCTGGCTTAAGTTCAATTATCTGTATAATATGCAATCAATATGTTACTACTTCTAGCTTTACTGGCATTCGCAAGTAAATAGTTCATAGCAATTTAAGAAAGTTCTAATGTTCAAAAAAAAAAAAGAAAAATTAAAACAACACTGAAAAAATTTGCCACAAGAATAAATCTCAAATTACATTGAATTCTTAATAGTGACAAACTTATACTCATGATGAGTAAATGATTTAAGTTCAATTATTTGTGTAATATTTTATAAATATTTAACTACTTTAAGAATTACTGGCGTTCACCAGTAAATTATGAAAAGTCTTTTTGATAAGTATAAAACAGTTCCAACGTTTTAAGAAGCGCTTCAATAATAAAACACAAATTACAATAATATCAAAATAGCTACAAAATCACACTAACGATGACAAAATTATTTAAGGTGGCTCCATAGGGTAATCATTCATGGCGTTGCGTGCGCAAGGGTTTTTTGAATGTTGTTTTTGCACTCGCTTTCACACCCAGTCCTTTCAAACTTATTACATGTAATAAGGAATGATTAAATAGTGTTTTGCTATCNTGAAAGCTGTTTTTGCATTCGCTTTCACACCCAGTCCTTTCAAACTTATTACATGTAATAAGGAATGATTAAATAGTGTTTTGCTATCATCTCTGTTAAAATTTTGGGCTTTAGTCTTGAGTTATAAATGCCCAAACACATGTGTTTGGTACTGTTTGTGTGGCTTTATTTGTGATTTTCTTGAATTTTCTTCGGTGAAATCTTCCAAAATTTTTACAACACATCGCTTCCAGCAGGATACGAATTTTAAACACGAAAAAAGTGGGTTTGTAAAGGCAGTTTGTTCGATAATTTCAAATTTATGTCTTTACCGCTGCAAAAAATCTGGTCTTGTAGATTTCCCTGAAAAGCGAGCTCAGACTAAAGTAAAATATTTACTACCAATCTGCCAAATTTTACGGATTTTACCGACGGAAACGCGAGAAAATTCACTGTCAATTTTGCTTTTTGTGCTCATGTTGACGTCAGAAAATATCCAAAAACACTGACGTTTTCCTTCGAGCGCGCATATTACTTGAGCTTTCATCCTCAGCGCGCGTGCGATCGTAAAACTATAGGGAGCCACCTTTAGTTCAATTATCCGTCTAAGATTTGGCAAGATTTTTTAAAAAAAAGCAGCATTACTGGCACTCGCCAGTAACTTCTTCAATACGTTTCTGGAAACTGAAAAAAAAAATTAAAAAAAAAAAACACCCGGAAGCTTCGGCAGCTAGGAAGCCTCCCCCGCCTCCCTTGCTAGGTTTGTTTCGAAGAACAAACTATTTTCTCGCCAATGAAAAGCTAGGAACAAATTCGTTTCTTTTTTTTTTTTTTCTTGTTTTTCTTGTTTCTTTTTTTGAACAGAGCCTGGGTAACGCATTTGGAAGAACAATCATGGACAAAACTACAAGCTTCGTCCCCGGGCTTCGTCATCCGTAATAAAATTGTAAAACAACAAAAAAATATTTTCACTCAAATTATTACACTTCCTCTTGCTTAGAGAAAGCACATAAATATGTCCTCGTACAATGTTTTGCCAGCCCGGTTTCATTGCAATAGCAAGATATTAGTATCTTGATTTGTGGAAACAAATGGAAGCGAGAAATACCAATTTAAATCTCAAACTTTAAATCAAGGGAAATCCTGTTGGTTTTTTGAGTGAAACCGAGATACAAGATCAGGAATAAAGAAAGTTTCCACCAGACTGGATGACTGGAAAGTTCATACCGCCCCAAAAATCAACGAAACATTACGGATATGAATGAAAATTGAGATATTTGAATGGAGATACTAAGAGATGCATCAGCCAGTTGTGCTATTGATATCAGAGAGAGCGGTTGGTTACAAACTACACGTACTGACAAATAAATTATCTACTTCAGTATGTAGACTTTCTTAGTTTTAAAGCTAGTCACGAGAATACGTCCATCTGGCGCTGTTGCTATTCCAACAGGATTTGGTAAATCAGTGATAGTTTTGCCTGTGAAGCGACCGTCTAAAGAAAACTGCTGAACCCGGTTATTGCACGCATCACATACAAGAAGATTATTGGAGCTGTCTAGAAGCATACCATGCGGCCACTGAAATTGTCCATCTTGACTTCCTTGTTTTCCAAACTTGTATAAGAAAGTTCCTGACCGATTGAAAACTTTAATACAGTTATTGTTTCTATCAGCTACAAGAAACATGTTTTTGTAAGGAATGCAGCTTGTGGGATCATTGAGTTTCTCTGCGCCGCTGTCTCCAAACATGGTAATAGTCTCACCCTCTTGTGTCATGACCTGTATCCTATGATTGCCCCACTCGGTTACAACAATGCGGTGATGTTCATCCAGGCAAACATAAACCGGGTTGGAAAACTCTCCTTTTGCTGCGCCATATTTTCCAAAGCTTTTTACAACAGTTCCTGTCTGGACATCTACTTGTTGTATTCTCTGATTCCCTTGATCCGCAACCAGAATCTCGTTATCATTTAAATATGTAACGCCCCATGGCTGGTGAAATTGTTCGGCATTTCGTCCTTGGCTGCCAATTTTTTTTACACAGTTGCCTTCTTGATCGAAGATATAAACACAATGTCCTGTAAAATCTGATATAGCAATTTTCCCTGTCGTATTTACAGCAATTCCACATAGATTGTTAAGCTCATCTCCTTGAAATAACTTCAAGTTCAACTCACCGACTACACCAAGTTCACGTTCTTTGACTTGCGTAGTGAAAGGGCAGTTTGGAAGTTTATCGTCGTTGATCTTCACTTCAATGTTATAGGCACCCGGCACTTTTGGTGTAAAATTCACCTTGAATTTATCATTTTCAGCCTTTTTGCTAACAATCACATTTGTGACGTCTTCAGCAGGTTCAATGACTATGTCAATTTGATTTTTAAGATCAGGCAGGTTACTTATCTCTCCCTCAGGTGTTCTGGGGCATGATATCAATTCTGCTGCTACACCAGCCTGAAGAATTTGATCCAGTCCCTCCAAAGTGCATTGACTTGCATCAACTCTCTCGATTGCGATATCGCCCAGTCTCAAGCCCTCCACAGAAGCCGGGGTGAATTTGATGAATGAGGTCTCGTGGTGTTTCGGCATTTCAATGTCACGAAGCTCTTGAAATCTGTGTTTGAGAGTTTCCTTGCTTTGCATGATATCTGAGCTTGAGCTTCTCTGAACCAGAATTTGGGTAAACTCAACCGCTTGGATCATTTGTTTGA